TGGGGTCGCAGAGAGTAGGCCACGCCTGAGCAACTTTCACTTTTAAGAACGGGGACGTGTGCTCCTTGCAGCCGCAAGCTGTCCCGGGAGACTGGGAGCCCGGTGGGGGTGTCTGAGGGCCCACCCCCGGGCGAGGTTCGGTCCCGCAGGGGACCCGGCTCCCGCCATCCACTGCTCGTCCAGGACACACAGTGCGGCCCGACCGCCCGGAGCCCCGAGCCCCCGCCGCCGTTTTCCCCGGAGGGAGAGACCGGACCCAGGAGAGTCAGCCGCCGCGGGAGACTCCGCGGGGGGCTGGGGGCAGACCGGAGCGTGCGCACTGCCTCAGCCGAGATTCCTCCGGAAGCTGGGCTCACGTCTCACCGCCGACTTGGGCGCCGCGCCTCAACGGCCCAGCAGTCCCGCGCAGACGAGGGCGCCAGCTGAGCTGAGACGGCAGCACGTGTGTGCACGCCTGCGGCCTGCACCGGGAAGTGAAGGGCCGCCCCGAGGCGCTCCTGGCCTCACTGAGCTTTGTACGCACAGAGAAAGGCGACAGAGGACGAGGTCCGTTCCTGTTGGCCCGTCTCTGGGACCCCTGCCCACAGGGTCTGCGGGACACAAGGGGGATCAGAGCTCTCCTCTTCTAAAATAGATCCCTGGGACTGGAGAGACTTCTAAATTATTAAAACGCTGGAGAGCTCTCATCCTGTTATTGTACCTTTTTAAATTGGTATGCAAAAGCCCCCAAGGGCTTGAAAACTCCAAAACAGCTTCTAAGGATGCTGCAGAAGACTAGTGAAAGGTAAGGGGTGTAAAAGTGCCTACGGCAAACAAACAGAACCCCTGAGGCTGACCTCACCTCTTCTCCCTCCACACTCCTGTACTGAGGGCCCACTCTGGTCTGCTGTCTGAATGGTCTTCTATCCCAATGACACTATTCAATGGTCACCTTCAGAAATGGGACCACCTGAGGCTGGAGGCAAGCCTCTTCACATCAAAGTTGGAAATGAGGGCCATAGGTAAAGAATTTCTTAAACCCAAGTAGGAGCCTCTCAGGTTTCTATAAGTAGATTACCAAGATTGAAGGCCACTGGTCTGACTGAACTAAATATAGCTGATATTCAGAGCCTGGCAGGATTTTTTAATTTTTTGGCCTTCTTCCCTGAGCTAGATGAAGGAAAGTAAAACATTCCAAAGTCCCTTGGACAGCAAGATAAAAACAGTCCATCCTAAAGGAATTCAGCCCTGAATATTCATTGGAAGGACTGATGCTGAAGCTGAAGCTCCAATACTTTGACCAGCTGATGTGAAGAGCCAGCTTATTGGGAAAAAAACTGATGCTGGGAAAGACTGAGGGCAAAAGAAGGGGGTAGTAGAGGATGAGATGGTTGGATGGCATCACTGACTCAATGGACATAAGTTTGAGCAAACTCAGGGAGATGGTGAAGGACAGGGAAGCCTGGCGTGCTGCAGTTCATGGCGTCACCAAGAGTCGGACACGACTGACTGAACAATAAAACGTTCCAGCAGGTGGACGGGTATGTCAGCACTTTGGTATCATTTTCCCTGAAGTGGCCACCCCATTCTTTGAGGAATTAAAAGAGCTGTCCTTATTTCACAAATCTATCTTTACAGGACTGAGATGAGGCTCCAGAAAAACTCAAAGCCCATCAATCTTTTTACTGCTCCTCAGACTTCCCCTACTTAGCTTGAGGCTTTAAATATATATTATATATTAATATTGTGGCCTTAAGGGAACAGAAGTTACTCCTAGAATTTGCCTTTTTCCTCCTATGCTTCTGAGATGTAAATGGCCCACCTGGTCTTCTCCAGAAACACTTATCTAGACCAACTTTTGAAATTGCAAATTTCAGGAAAGTAACTCTTCTCAAAAGAGAGAAACTAAAGTGGATAGGTTACTTGAAACTTGTCAAGGACAAGACAACTCCTGCGTCTTCTCTATAAGTACTAGTGAAAAGACTTTTGCCATCTAAACAGGTGACCTTTATTTGTTCCATTGGTCAGAAACCCAATTTGAATCCAACTTTTTTTTTTTTTTAAGCCACATCATGAGGCTTGCAGGATCTCAGTTCCCAGACCAGGGATTGAACCCAGACCACGGCAGGGAGAGCCTGGAATCCTAGCCACTAGGCCGCCAGGGAAACCAACCTCTTTTGTAACCAATGGGTTTTGTATTGCTGTTCCTGATTCATGGATGAAATTTGGGGATGTGAAATGATGCCGAAACTCAGTCTCTGTGAACCAGCACTGAACTGAATCTTGGAGACTAGAGTTTTAGGTGAAGCAGCAAAGTTTTATTGCTTTGCCGAGCAGAGAGGGCCACTACCGGCTAATGCCCTGAAAACTATGGGGTGGGGGTGGGGGTGGGGGCAGCGCATGAGGCATCCTGTAGTCAAGGGGACACAGAAAGGCTGTGTGCCCAGGAGCCCCACAGGGTCCTGCTTGGTTTCGAAACTACGGGATCTCTGTTGGTATGAATCTATGTGTATGTGTGTACTGCAGGTATGTGGTCCTGCCAAAATTGATTGGTAAAAGGGCCCTGACTGGCTAATACTCAAATGAATCTCAGGATCACGTAACCCAGGGTTTATTTTTATTCTTGGCTGCCCTAGGTCTTTGATCCTGCATGTGGGTTTTCTCGAGTTGCAGGCAACAGGGGCTGCTTGCCATTGTGGTGTACAGGCTTCTCATCACACTGGTGGTGGTTTAGTCGCTCAGTCGTGTCCGACTCTTTGTGACCCTATGAACTGTTGCCCACCAGGCTCCTCTGTCCATGGGATTCTTCAGGCAAGAATACTGGAGTGGGTTGCCATTTCCTTTCCAGGGGATCTTCCCGACCCAGGAATTGAACTCGAGTCTCCTGCCTTTCGGGCAGATTCTTTACCCACTGAGCTTCTCATCACACAAGTTTCTCCGCTTGTGACTCTAGGGTGTGCACGGGCTCAGCAGTTGTGGCACACTGGCTTAGTTGCCCTGTGGCCTGTGGAATCTTCCCAAACCAGGGCTTGAACCCATGTCCCACACATTCGCTGGCAGAGTCTTAACCACTGGGATCACTAGGGAAGTCCCTGGTATTAATTTTTAATGAGTGAAAACAAGCTTGGTTTAATGACTATATCTCTGGACTCATCAACATTAATATTTTCATTGTACTTAGGTTTACTAGAAGTCAAATTTTAAGATCTGATGATTCCTGTTACAAAATTTGTCAGCAACAGAGATAACTTGAGATGATAAAACTTAAATAGGGCAGGACCCATGCAAACTTTTCTTCTGGTGCGCAGAGGCAGAGTCAAAGATTGTTAAGTACATGTCAATGAAGTAAGAGCTTTTAGATGAACTCTTTTAGAAGTAATCAGCTCCCTTATGGCTCAGCTGGTGAAGAATCCGCCTGCAACACGGGAGACCTGGGTTCGAACCCTGGGTTGGGAAAATCCCTGGAGAAGGGAAAGGCTACCCACTCCAGTATTCTGGCCTGGAGAATTCCATGGACTGTATCGTCCGTGAGGTTGCAAAGAGTCGGACACAACCAAGCGACTTTCACACACACACAAGTAATTATGTTTTAGGACTGTCTACTTTAAATGGTTTCTCCATATTTTTGGTAGCTTGAAACAGCTAAAATAAGTTAAGATGCTGGTGTGGACTGAAAAAAACAAAAAGTACAACTTGAAAGTTACGTTTTATTTGGTAGACAAAACTGAGGACAAGTCCAGGACACAGCGTCTCAGCTAACGAGAGAGAGACAGCTCAGACTAACAAGCTGAGACAGCTCTCAAGAGGTAAGCGAGGAGCCAGGATATACAGGAAGTTTTGTAACAGAGACTAGGTAGGTGGAACATCTGGTGACTCAGCGGCAGTCCGCCCGCAAGGCAGGCGACCCGGAGGTCAGCGGGCCCTGATAGGAAGGGTGTGGTGGGCCCGCTGACCTCTCCATAGCCCGGGCTCCCTGACCATCTCCCCCCAGGGGTCTGGGTGAAGGGGCAAGGCTGGAGCCTGTGGCCCAGAGGGCAGAGTTGGGGCGCTTGGGCCACAGGCCCTGTTTCCGGCCGGGCGGGGCAGACGGAAGGCAAGTCTGCGTGGTGAAGAGCCCTCCCCGACAGCAGCGCCCTCCCTCCCCGGGCCGTGGGCTGGAGCCTAAGGGCGCACAGCCCAAGGTTCGGCCCGAGGCCGGCTGGAGCCTAAGGGCGCTAAGAACCGCCCCCCTCACCACCCACCAAACAGGGCCGACTCCCTTTCAGATGGGGCTCCCACCGCCTGGAAAGGCACCTACGCTCGGGCCCCCGGGGGTGGGGGCGCTCTCTGAGACTGGCCAGGAGCCCGGAGGCCGGCCGTGCGGCGTGCAGGACCCCGCGCCAGCTCTCCGTCCGCAGCGCGCGCGCCCCCTTCCCCGGGGCTGCAAGGGCGAAGGCTCGGGAGGGACAAGCTCCCCCGTGTCCCCAGCAGCTGGGGCAGCTCCAGGCCCGCGGTGGGGGGCGCGGGCTGGACCCCAGACGCCCCGGCTTGGCGAAGACTCCCGACTAGCTCAGCCTCCCTCCGAGCGGCGCGGGACCCGGATCGCGGCCGCCCTCGGGCGCCCGTCCCGCGGGAACAGGGCCGGTCAGCGCCGCCACGCCCGCCAACCACCCACACCCTGGACTCGCGGCGCCAACCCGCCGCGCCCACGCCCGCACACGTCATCTTCCGAGGTCCGGGAGGCCCTGCCACAGGCGCCGCCATGTTACCTTACGGCCGCCGGCGAGAGGACCTCACGCAGCCACGAAGCGCCTCGCCGAGGACCCGCCCGCCGGTGACGTCACCGCGGCGCGCCGAGAGGGCGCCGCCATGTTACCTTACGGACGCCGGCATGACCTCGCGCCTCGCCGAGGCCCCGCCCCGCCGGAACGTCACCGCGGCGCGCAGGGCGGGCGCCGCCATATTGGGGGTCCTCGCCGCGGGCCCGTAGGTGTCCTCATAAGATGCCGGCTCAGCGGCGCCCGGCTTTTTTTCCCCCCAAGATGGCGTCCATGCGGGAGAGCGACACGGGCCTGTGGCTTCACAACAAGCTGGGGGCCACGGACGAGCTGTGGGCGCCGCCCAGCATCGCGTCCCTGCTCACGGCCGCGGTCATCGACAACATCCGCCTCTGCTTCCACGGCCTCTCGTCTGCCGTGAAGCTCAAACTGCTGCTCGGGACGCTGCATCTCCCGCGTCGCACGGTGGACGAGGTGAGGCGGGCGGCGGTGCGGACGCCGGACCCCGGCCCTCGCGGCCCCCTCGCGCGCCGCCGCCTCTCCCCTCCGCTCGCGCCCCTCGGACCCTCTGTCCCCCGGCCGCGCCCCCTCCCTGGCCCTCCCCGCGCTTGAGGGGCTCGGGGCGCCGGCCTCGGTCCTCTCAGCTTTTGGGGTCTCCGCCCGGTTGGGTCACCTGGCGCTCCGGGTTCTTGCCACACGCTCGCGTTTTTCGCTTCGTTCTCCTCAGTGGGTTTTACCTCTTTTTTTTTTTTTTCCCTCCTTAACGGTACACTGTGGCACTTTTTGCGCAAAATAAGGAGTTTTTCAAAACGTTGAGGCACCATCCTCGTTTACACGCCCTCCAGCTCCCGTCGCAGCGCCTCTCTCGCTCTGGTGGTTTCCTGTCCCGTCGTGTACAGGACGTCTAACGTGTCCAGTTCAGTTCAGTCGCTCAGTCGTGTCCGACTCTTGGCGACCCCACGGACCGCACGCCAGGCCTCCCTGTCCATCACCAACTCCCGGAGTTTACCCAAACTCATGTCCTCTGAGTCGGTGATGCCATCCAGCCATCTCATGCTCTGTCGTCCTCTTCTCCTCCCGCCTTCAGTCTTTCCCAGCCTCAGGGTCTTTTCCAATGAGTCAGTTCTTCTCATTAAGGTGGCCAAAGTATCGGAGCTTCAGCATCTAGCGTGCACAGGAGCGCACATTGATCAGTTTACCGAGCCACACGGCAACCTGCCTGTCCTCCTCACGCTGCTTAAGGAGCAGAAGAAAGCTGTGTCCAGAGCCCCCTTCCCCTCCGCCCGCCCCCTTGGGAGGGGACCGCTTCTCTGCCCCGCTTTGCGACATGTTAGTTGTAGGTGCCTTTTCCAGCCGTCCGTTGGGTTTGCCCTGGTTTGAGCTGGGCTCACGGTGTCCTGTGTTTTGGGTGAGGGGTGAGGGGTGCGGGTGTGTCTGTGTGCTTCCGGTAACACCTTTGACAAATGCGTCCGGCGGGCGCCCCCGCTGTGGTTTAGTTTTCACTGCTGGATCGTATTCCGTGAGCATGCGTGTAGTTGAGCACCTTCTCCCGCGTTTGTTCAGTGTTCTTTTTTGTGAATTGTCTGTCCCGAAGTTGTTTTCCTCATTGGGTTTTTTTTTTTTTTTTTCCCATTGTCTTGTAGGAGCTTTTAAAAGTTATAATTTATGTATTGGTGTCCCAGGTAGCTGGTAGCATCTTAGTTCCTGTTCCCCCTGCAGTGGAAGTGTGGAGCGTGGAGTCCTGACCACTGGACCCACAGGGAGTTCCCACTTTGTAGAAGTTTTCTTAAAAAATAAATTTTGAATATCAGTCTTCTTTTTCAGTTATGTATGCTACAGATGTCTTCCAGTTGTGTCCCGGCTTAGCTTTCTTCGTGAAGTCTTTGGATCCCAGCTCTTAGCTGTAACTAGGCAGGTGTACTCCTCTTAGGATATGCTTGCGGGGCGTGGCGGCGGGGGGGGGGTCGGAGCTCCCTGATGTCTGGTTTTGCCTTTCACTTCTGCTAAGCATTTCTCTGGTGCAAAGCCCTCCAGGAACCTGGCCTAGGGTGGGTGGAAGTTTGCCTCCTGCCCCAACCTATTTATTAACCATACTTGTCCTGAGTTCGTGGCGAAACTTTAAGAAAAAGCCATTTTGGGCCTAGGCCATTTTGCCATCTAAGCCTGGCCACAAAGTTTGCCCTTGAGCAGGTTCTCAGTAATTAATGATCTTAAGGGAAGTGAGAGAAGGCAGGAGCAGAGGATAAGCAGTCAAGAGACTGTTGTTGTTCAGTCACTCAGTTGTGTCCAACTTTTTACGACCCCATAGACTGCAGCACGCCAGGCTTCCCTGTCCCTCACTGTCTCCCAGAGCTTGCTCAAACTCATGACCATTGAGTCAGTAATGCCATCCAACCGTTAAATCCTCTGTCGTCCTCTTCTCCTCCCGCCTTCAATCCTTCCCAGCATCAGGGTCTTTCCAATGAGTCATGTCTTCACATCAGGTGGCCAGAGTATTGGGGCTTCAGCATCAGTCCTTCCAAAGAATATTCAGGACCGATTTCCTTTAGGATGGACTGGTTGGATCTCCTTGTAGTCCAAGGGACTCTCAAGAGTCTGCTCCAGCGCCACAGTTCAAAAGCATCAATTCTTTGTTACTCAGCTTTTTTTATGTTCCAACTCTCACATCCACACATGACCACTGGAAAAACCATAGCCTTGACTGTACAGACCTTTGTCAGCAAAGTGATGTCTCTGCAGTCAAGAAAATGTAGTTGCCATAAAACAGAGTCCTAGTTCTTCCTCAGGGAACATGCACAACAATCTGATACTTGTCTTGGAGTTCTGCAAGAACTAAGACCCCCACCCAGGTAGAGGATGGAGTGATGCTCTTGACCCCTGGGATTCAGTCAACTAAAGGTTGGACTGGCAACCACCAAAAGCCCTCTGGTGAATACGCAGGCAAACTCGCTTCGGGTCGCTTCCTCCTCACTCCCTTCTCCTCCCACCGTTCAGCCTGCTTGTGTCTTCTGGCTCGGTGCCAACAAAGAGGTGAACCCAGTTTTGTTAACAGTTGTGGTGGGGGTAAATATGAATGAATATTGAACTTATCAGATGTTTTTAATGTCTATTGACATATTGGTTGCCACATTTACAAAGTAGCGTTAATTGCTAACCAACCTAGCTTCCCTGAGGTAAACCTAACTTGGTCATTTTATGTGTAGGACTGTGTCATCCCAGTGGGCTTCCCAGGTGGTGCAGTGGTGAAGAATCTGCCTGCCAGTACAGGAGACACTAGAGATGTAGGTTCTATCCCTGGGTCGGGAAGATCCCCTGGAGAAGGAAATGGCAACCCACTCCAGTATTCTTGCCTGGAGAATCCCATGGGCAGAGGAGCCTGGTGGGCTACAGTCCGTGGGGTCGCAAAGGATCAGATAGAACTGAGCGCACATGCAGTGTAGGAATTTTGTATCTGTGTTCATGGGTGAGATTAACCGCTAGTTTTACTTCCCCAGTCTGTCTTCATTAGATACTGGTATTGAATTTCTTTATAAATGCGGTGGTAACACATCTTCTGTTTTCCTCTCTTTTGGAAATTTTAATTGTGGAATTATTTCTTCCTAAATGTTTGGTAGAACTTAGTAATAAGCCAGCTTGGGGACTGGATTTTCCCTGTGGGAAGATATTTGAGTACTGATGTTTGGTTTTATGTTCTTCTTAAATTTTTTGGACACTGTATATTTCTAGTGGTTTGGCAGTTTGCATTAAAACTGCGACTTTGTTAGCATAAAGTAGATGATAGCCTTCTTTTATCTTTTTTAATGTTAGGAGCATGTGTACTGTTATTTCCTTCCTCCCACTTTTCCCCCTTGATTCATCTCATCAGATGTTTGCCAGTCTCATAAGGCTTTTCCAAGTATCACCTTTTGACTTTGTTCATTTTTCTGTTATGTGTTCATTTTCTGTTCGCTAATCTTTTTTCCTTAATTTCAAGATTTGTTTACTTACTCATTTTATTTCTTGGCTGTAGTGGGTCTTGTTGCTGTGCTCGGGCTTTTTCTGGCTGTGTGGAGAGGAGGCTCCTCTCCGGTGCAATGCGTGGGCGCTCACTGTGGGGGCTTCTCTTGTGGCCGCGGGCTCCCCTCAGCGTGAGGGATCTGCCGGGACCAGGAATCAAGCTGCTGTCCGCTGCGTTGCAAGGTGGATTCTTAACCACTTGACCCCCAGAGGAGCCCATGGTCAATAATTCTCGTACTTTAATTATTTTCTTCCTTTATTTGGTATGTATGTTAGGGGGATATTGGCCTCATTTTCCAGCCGTTTTCCTTTTCTAAAATATTCGTATTAAGTCAGGTTTTTTTCTCTTACGTCTTTAGCTGCGTCCTACAAATGTTAGTGTTATCATTACCAAGGCGCAATATTTCGTAATTTCTATGCTGATTTCCTCACTGACCTCTTTATTATTTAGAATGTGTTTTAATTTTTGTACATTAGAGGGAGTGAGGTTTTACTTATGTTTTTTACTAGTGATTTCTAGCTGGGATAAGTACTTGTCAGAGAACTTAGTCTGTATTATTTCAGTCATTTGAAATTTTAAGATTTGCTTAATGGCAAAAATATATGGTCAGTTTTTATAAGCATTGCGAGTGAGTTTGAGAAGCATTTTTTTCATCTAGTTTTGCGATCCATTTCCCAGTATATATTCAGTAGGTCAAATTTGTTCAATCATCTGTATTGGTTAATGAGAGGGGTCTACTTATCTGTGTTATGATTGTGCGTTTGTCTAGTTTTATAGCTTTATCGACTTTTGCTTTCTACACTGTGAAGCTATGTCATCAGGTGTGTACAAGTTTAGAATTGTAACTGTTGCCTTGTGAGCTGAATCACAGATCTTTATGTAAAGGTCTCTGTAGCTGGTCATGTTTTGTCTGGTTGTTTTCGGTCCAGCTTTGATATAAGTAGACCAGCTTTCTTTGGTTGATTCTTCTATAGTTTATTCTTGGATTTGCCTATCATTACAAGAAATTATAATGAAAAGTTTACTTAGATTGAAAGAACTAGGCCTTTCTGGATAATTTACTTTTCTGAAAGGCATTTTTATTTATAGATTTAGTGTTAAGCTTTTTATTCCAAAACATCTTAATTTACTTAGCTATCTTAGTTCCTTTTCTTCAGTTATGTAAGGGTCTGATACCTTAGGGGATAGCATTCTGCATTTTTTATGTAGGACCATAAATAAAGGGACACCAGATAGCTGGGCTGTGTGTGCTCCACTCTAATGGCGGAAAGGGAAGAGACACTGGAGAGCCTCTTGATAAAGGTGGAAGAGGAAAGTGAAAAGGCTGGCTTAAAACGCAACATTCAAAAAGCTAAGATCATGGCATCTGATCCCATCACTTCATGACAGATAGATGGGGAAACATTGGAAACAGTGATAGATTTTACTTTCTTGGGCTCCAAAATCACTGTGGACTGTGATTACAGTCATGAAATTA